CTTTCCAGCTCCAGCTAAAGACCATCATGGAGACCTCGATATTGTTCCAACTGCTGTTTCCATTACCCCTGCAATAGTCACCTCTCTCCATTATTCATAGTTGACACCCAAGGTCACCATCTGTCACTCCCCTAAGCAGCTGGCCTTAGCCCACAATGTGACTGCATTAGTCTGCATTACTTTGTCCCCACAGCCCTTTTCGGTATTTGAGATTCCTATGTTTGCATCCTGTTGTCTACATCTCTCCATCAGAAGGTTGGACATGGTCTTTAACCTTCTAGAAGTGTGCCTGGCATGATGGACACACCATAAAGAAGTGCTGAAGAAATGTATTCTGCGACACGCACTCCTTGTCCAGCAAGAAGGAACGATCACAAAATCAAGAATCCTTCTCAATCACAATTTATTGGAGCACTCGGTTGAAAAGGGGAATGGGGAAAAGGGATGACGAGAGAGAGTGAAAAACCCAAAGGCAGCCGCTTTTCTAGGGTGAGAGACTCGAATGCTGATTGGTTGATGCCATTCTGCTAGGGCCAAAGGCCACAGGACCAAGGCTCTGAAATGCAAAACAAGGCCCCAAGCACACTGGCCTGCGCGGCAGCATCAAAGGACCGCTGGCACTATCTCGCCAAGGCGACATCCTGGCGGCTCCTAACAGTATTCCTTGTTAAACTTAAGGCATACATTTTCCATTCAGACCTTGCAGATACAGTCAACAACAGATCAAATAAATGTTTATCACACCCATGTTTTCACTAGCTTCTATCACGACATGAACTTCACAGCCACTATTCATTTGGGTTTTACTAGAAAGAATACCAAAATGAGAATCAAGAGGTTGACAGTCTACCTTGATTAGGTCACTAGCTGTAAGACATGTACAGTTTGGACCTTCTAGAAATTAATCTCAGTTGGGAAAGTGAGTGCACAACAAGCGTGAACTGAAAAGTTCACAATCTAGATGTTATGACAGTTAATATTGTGAGGAAAGTACTGTCACACAGCAGAGCTATGGCTATGTAGACCATGGTCTACCTATTAGCATCACTATACAGCTGTATAGTAGTCCTTGTTTATCGAAGGTTTTGTTTTCAATTGTCCATGGACAAATATGGCATAAAGACACTAGTTGGAAAATTCCAGAGATAAATTTATAGTATGCTTTAAAGTGTGCATCTGTTTGAACAGAATGGTACAGACTATTCAGTTCTGGCCTGCCAACGTTGTGAATTACTCCTTTGTCCAGAGTACAGATATTATATATGCTACCTGCCCTGCAGTCTCTTAGTAGACACCATCAGTTAGAGATTTTCTGTTACATTATTGCTGGATTTTTGCTCAAGTAATCTTTATTTTACGTACAAGAGGAATCAATCTTGCTATTCATGTATATCAATGGGAAGTCATAAAGTATTTCCTAAAAGTGAATTAGTGATATGATACTTAAAGACCACACTCACAAAATTTTATTACATATGTTCTCATAAATATTCTATTCATTAGTTACTGTAGTTCATTTTACTGCACTTATTTATAAATTAAACTTTATTATAGGTGGGAATAATAAAGCTGTATACTATGTACAGGGTTAGGAGCAATCTGTGCCTTCAGGGTACTCACTAGTGATCATGGAATACGTTCCCCAGAGTTACAGGAGACAGAGTCATTCTGCTATTTATTCAATAAATATTTCTTGAGTTCTTGCCCATCTCAGACATTGTTCTAGGTGATGACAACAGTGAATGAAACAGGAAGATGTTCTATGCTCATAAACTTGTATTCTGACGAGGAAGGTAATAAACCAATATACTACATGAATATGATTTTAGTTGAAGACAAAAAAAACCCTATGAAGGATGTTTAGTACATTTTAAAATGTTTGGGGGACCATCATCTTGTAGAGCTTTCTATAGGCCATGGTAGGGGCATTAGATTTCATTTTCCATGTGATAGAAACGGCCTTGGAGAACTTTGAACAGAGCTCAATCTTCTACTTCAGCACGGAATGGGTAGCAGGATAAGGGAGGATGATGTGGGAGAATTGTCTGTATTCTGTCAATCATGTATTTTAATAAAACGCTGATTGGCCAGGCAGGAAGTATAGGTGGGTCAACCAGACAGGAAGTAGAGGCGGGGCGATGAGAACAGGAATATTCTGGAAAGCAGGAAGCTCCCTCTGCAGTTCTGCCCAGACCACTGGAGAGGAAAGATGTAAGCTGCCCTGCTGGAAAAGGTACTGAGCCATGTGGCTAACGTAGATAAGGATAATGGGGTAACATAAGTTACAAGGGCTAATAAGAAGCCTGACCTAATGGGCCAATCAGTTTATAATCTTATGAAGTCTTGTGTGTGATTTTCTTTGTTGCTTGCTGGCTGTGGGGTACTGGGTAGAACAGATACCCCAACAAGTCAGTCCTCATGTTACAGATGGCGCCCACGTAGATAACTGAATCCACAGAAAGCTTGAGAAAGCTTGGGAAAGAATAGAGTAAAGCATGTTTTCTTGGTAGCACCAATTTCTCAGGTCTGCTCTGCTTGCTAGAGGCAAGCAAGCACTCTCATCTAAGAGAGGCTTCCTGACTCAGCTTTAGCTGCAAAACTTTGTAGTTCCTTTAAGAGGTCCTGCCACAAAATACTTAAATGGTGTTGATGAAAAGCTGAATGCATGCTTTTCGGTTTTCAGCCGTAGCAGGAAAAAAGCTGCGCTGTTTTAAAATGCCAGCTTTCTGGGCTGTCCTGCCAGGGCAAATTCTGACTCTTTCAGGCAGGTAGTCCGACTGAGTGTGGTCTGTGAGCAGAATGATGAAGCTTGCTTGCTGGCAAGGACCTTGAAACGCCATAGAGTTGTGGCAGTGAACACAGCTCTGGCTGGTATCTCAGCCATGAGGCTGGAAAGCTAAGGAATGGGTTGGATCTAACTGTCAAAGCTACGGCTTTAGTCCTAGCCATTGAAGACTTGTGTGGTCAGAAAAAGAGAGATATATAGTAAAGAGATTCAAAGAGGAAGAAAACCTCTAAATGGTTTACAGTGTGTTAAAAATATATGCAGGCTAAAAGTTAAAGTTCTAAAAGTAAAAAGAAAGAAAGAGAGTAGTTGGGTGTGGTGGTACACACCTTTAATCCCAATGCCTGGGAGGCAGAGGCATATTGACCTCTGTGACTTCAAGGGGTAGAGGTGGATTGACCTCTGTGACTTCAAGGTGTGGTAGCACACACCTTTAATCCCAATGCCTGAGAGGCAGAGACGGATCTCTGTGAGTTCAAGGTGTGGTAGCACACGCCTTTAATCCCAGCACGGGGGAAGCAGAGACAGGAGGATCTCTGTGAGTTCAAGGTCTACAGTGTTGTTCCAGGACAAAGATATACAGAGAACCTGTCTCAAAAAGTTAAAAGTAAAAATAAAAGAAATAGAGGTTGAAATAAAGCTGCATAAAGATGGAAAATACACAGAGAATCTTGATACTGTATGCTGTTATGCTCTCTTTGAATTGTTTGAATGCTGAAAAAGGAGCAACAGCTGCTAAAAGACTTTTGTTTATAAATACTGCTGAACCAACCCAAGATAGGTATTTTGAAGTCAATATAAGGTATGTTACTCTGGAGAAGAGATTTTGCTTTTGTTTCCACAGAAAATGAAGAATAGTCCTATGGGTATACGAAGAAATAAAAAGCCTTACCTTACAGAGTTACACACTGTCCTGGAGATGAAATGATGTTGAGCATGGAACTGTTAAAGTTGATGATCAGTACTTTCACTTTTAGCCTGCAATTCTCCACGTGTTTAAAGAAAGAATTGTGAAGCAGAGCTGTCTTTATCAGAAGAACATTCTTTTCTTACTTTTAATATTCAGTGTGCATCCTTAAGACTCCCATGAATTTGGACACTTGTTAACAATTCTTGTGTGGGAGAGCAAAAAAAAAAAAACACCATAAACAAAATGGTCATTGGTAAGTTTTCTTGCTGGGCCTGATGGCGTATTGCTGTACTCTTTTGAGGCTGGGAAGGGACATTTGCGGCCAGTCTGGGCTATATGGTGAAATCGCCCCCTCCCTTCATTCAAAAAAATTACATCAGATTAATTTTTTTTCATTTGTCAATTTGTGGAAGAATTGTAATAGACATCTTTGAATTCCTGAGAGAAAATAAAAGTGAACGGAGGAGGGGTGGGCACAGGTTTAAGATTTTCTTCTTAATCATGTTCACAAATATGTCCATATTATTTGCAAATAGTTATATACATATATATGTATATATATGTTTATTACGGAGCATAATCTTACTAAAACATTTTTGATGGTGAGGTTAGCTTCCATAGAATATTTTAATATATTGCTTATCCGTATTTTCTGACTTTTTACATAAGGCAAGTGGATTCTTCGTTAAGAGTCTCATTTGAAAGTGGGAGGGGCGAGGAATGGAATTAATAGGTAGTACTATCCTGACCTGACCTAGGCGGGTGGGTGCTGGGTAGGGCGACATCCCTGCGAAAACCCTGGGGCAAAGAACGGGAGATGCGGCAGTGCGCAGGCGCAAGATCTTTAGGGCGGGAGTAAGACCTGTCACAGGACATCCTCGGTAGCCAATTAAAGGCCAGCGTCAGAGGCTTCTTCCTGAGAAGGCAACCGGAACTTGTGCTTCCGCTGCGCTGAGGAAAGTCGCTACCGGAACAGCAAGCGCGGCGGTGAGCGGGCGGCCGCGCTTGGCGACCGCAGCCTGAGCTTCTCTCTCCGCCCCCGCGGCTGCGTCTCCCCGAGCGTGGAGCGCCGAGGTCCGGCGCGGGGCATCCTGGGAATCCCGGGATCGCGTGCCCCGGCTCCCCGCGTTGCTCCGCGGAGTCTGCCCGCGGCCGAAGGTGAGCCGCGTGCGGGACAAGCCGTACTCGGGAGGCCCGAGTTCTCGTCCCCACGCCGACTGCTTTTGAACCGCTGTAGCCAGGATTGTGCCCCGTCGCCATCGGTAAAATGAGAAAAGCCACCTAGGACGGCGGGGGCTGGCGGGAGGGGCGCGAGAACTCCGAGCGGATCCCGAGTCCTCATTTACCAGACTTTCCGAGGGGTCCCAGGTACAGGGGACAAAGTGAACCGAGTCTCTGAACTTGCGACGCTTTCCCTCATCCAAAGCAAACACTAGAAAGTGTGGGTTTTGCTAGTGCTAGTCAATTACGACCTCCAGCGGCTTTGAAAAGTTCAGTTTAAACCGGTGATGGGCGGATCCCGTCCCGTGGCAGGCTGTGCGGTGGATGCTTCGCGACTTAGTGAAGCTCGGTCATTTGTACTTTGGCGCAAAAAAACTAGCAAACTCGGGAGTAAGAATTCCCGTTGCATCATTTGCCAGGCTTTTGATCTGATGTAACCAGTTTTGCACGTTGGGGATTGCCTTTCTTGTTTCTGAAATGAAGATCAATGTCGGCTTGCTATGGTTGCCAGAGAACATTCGTGTTTTAGGACTATACTGAAGTACTTAGGGGAAGAGGAGTGAAAAAAAAGAAGCAAATGGGGTGTGTGTGGGATGACCAAACAGTTGGAAACCTGAAGAGTTTGAAGAGGCTACCCTCAAGATTAACGATTCTAGGTGTAATACTGGTACGGAACCCGTGTGTTACTGGCCCCGGTTGATGTTGGAAGATGGTGTATCCTGAAATTCAGATCACTGCGAAAAAGCACTCGGGGAATCTCCTCCTTGGATAATACACTTGGACTCAGATTGGAATAGGCAGAGATTATTTTGACCATATATGTTGCAGTGTTCGGGTTTATAGAATGCTAATGTGTTGATAAAATTGTACCATACTCTTAAGATGGGGCTTCCTCCAAAAACCTTGGATAATAATAGAAGTTTGAAATTTAACAGTGCTTTGGGTTTGCTTGTTTGTTTTTTGTCAAAATGTTAGAGTTTTAAGTGTTTGGTTTTGGAAACTAGTGTGCAATAGAAAGCGAAGGTGATTGTGATCGTAGATTGGTAAACACCATATGTAGTTTCACTGTGGGAAATAGTAATAAGTAAGGCATAGGACATTTGTGTATAAGTGTTCTTTTTCCCAGAGTAGGTTCCAACATGCACCTACCAAAAAAAAGAATCAAACTTGAAAATTAATATATCATGTGCCATACAAAGGCTCCCCAAGTAAAGACCCTCTACTCTTAGTTTTTCGAATATATATTTTGTTTTTTGAAAATTTTATAACACACATTGCTTACCCACTCCTTCCCCTCTGATACCCTGCAGACCATCACCGTGTCTCATTCTCAACTTCATGTACTTCTAAAATATTTACTAGTTTTTAAAGATCACTTTTGCTTTCTATTATACACTGTTTTCCAAAACCAAACACTTAAAACTCTAAACATTTTGACAGCATTGTTAAATTTCAAACTTCTGCTATCCAAGGTTTCTGGAGAAAGTCCCATCTTAAGCGTATGGTGTCTTTACTTAGTCTGGACAACAAGCATGCCCTTTAACAGGTGATAAAGACTTGAAGAGATTGAAATAACTGTAAGGTTTCCAAATGGCACTGCTTTGTGTTCTCAGAATTTCCTTCACAGACCAAGTTTGCACAGCTCTGGGTGTATTTTTAGTTGGTAGAGATTGTTTCACTGCTCTCATTGCAGTGATCATGATGCCTGCAGCATTAGGTCTGATTCAGATAAGCACCAAGCCATCTGACGCAAGCCTGCAGGCTTGTGGGTGAATGGTCAGTCGCTAGGACGGAGCAGGCACTGTGAGGAGGATGTAGGATCGGGAGAGTCAGTGACTAAGTAGGTTTTAAATGGGAAAAGGCAACACATTTCCATGTAAGGGGATTTTGCCAGTGTCCACCATCAGTTACAGAACCTGCCTTTATATTTGACACAGAAGTCTGTGCAATGTGGTTTTTCTGCCCTGTTCCATAAACCTAACTAGTTCTTGTCAGTTCATCCACGAAACCACAGCTTTGCTTTATTTTTTTCTTCCTCCTTTGCCAGGGTCACCTGTCCTCTAGCGTGAAATTAGCACACCTCTTGTCTTGACTGCCTAACAAAATCTCAACTTTCAAGGCATACTTACTACCATCAGGAAGCTTGAAGATAGTATGGTCTGAATTCACAGTGGACTTCTGAACAACAAAGTTGTGTTGACCAGGCTGCCTGGTTGTAGGTTGGTAACTTTTTCCCTCATCAGTGAAGCTTCATGATACAGTGTCATATGTCACAAGAACTCCCCTCCCCCAGCACCCCTTTATTTTTAGTATACTTTGCCCTGGTCTGTCTTTGAGAAATTGACAGGTGCTGGGGGTCTTTTGTGCTCTGGAAGTTCTTTCTCTTTTTCTCTCGATGTCATTACTGTAATTATGGTGTCTGAACCTTCTGCTGTAGTAGCATGGTCTCTGGATGTCTCTGCTGCACAGGCACCCCGCCCCTAACATCCTAGGGTAGGGGGTGGTGGCAACAGGAGATCCTAGGCACAAAGCAGAAACAATACCCTGCATATCCATCTGTAGGCTTTCTTTTGCCTCAGCAGACACCCAGCTGATGTGGGGCTGCCACAGCTTCCAGTTCCCTCAGATTGTCTTTATAGATGAGAAAGTGTAACTTGTTTATTTAACTGCCGTTGAAAGCATCAAGGACATAAAGGAAAATATATGGCTGTTAACATAATCTTTAATTAGTAAATAATTGATAGCCAGTCCCTTTTGTAAATGTTAATTTTAATATCCAAGATCATCTTGTCTTGGACTCTGTCCTGTCAGAAGTAAGAACATACTTGGAAGTCACTTATGGGGGTTGGGATTGTGTTTTATAGTTCTGTTCTGAATCTATGTTCTGTTTCTTTAGGTTCTTGATTGTCCACGATGGGTGAGCCACAGCAAGTGAGTGCACTTCCACCACCGCCCATGCAGTACATCAAGGAGTACACAGATGAAAATATTCAGGAAGGCTTAGCTCCCAAGCCTCCCCCTCCGATTAAAGACAGTTACATGATGTTTGGCAACCAGTTCCAATGTGATGATCTTATCATTCGCCCTTTGGAAAGTCAGGGCATCGAACGGCTTCATCCTATGCAGTTTGATCACAAGAAAGAACTGAGAAAACTCAATATGTCTATACTGGTTAATTTCTTGGACCTTTTAGATATCTTAATAAGGAGCCCTGGGAGTATAAAACGAGAAGAGAAGCTGGAAGATCTTAAGCTGCTTTTTGTACATGTGCACCATCTTATAAATGAGTATCGACCCCACCAAGCGAGAGAGACCTTGAGAGTCATGATGGAGGTCCAGAAACGGCAACGTCTGGAAACAGCAGAAAGGTTTCAGAAACACCTGGAACGAGTAATTGAAATGATTCAAAATTGCCTTGCTTCTTTGCCTGATGATTTGCCCCATTCAGAAGCAGGGATGAGAGTTAAAACTGAGCCAATGGATACTGATGATAACAGCAATTGTACTGGACAGAATGAACAACAAAGAGAGAATTCAGGTCACAGGAGGGACCAGATTATAGAAAAAGATGCTGCCTTATGTGACCTAGTTGATGAAATGAATGAAAGACCATGAATACTATCTTTTTTTCTTTTAGTGAGTAGCATCATATATTAGTTTATTTTCTCTTGGACTGTCTTAAGAGGTATAACTAAAAATATAAAGGGACTTTTTTCTCAGTTGAAATGCTGTAGGTGATAATTTAACAGTAAGCATAGGCAAGCAAGTATATTTGAGTAATGACCATAAAAAAGCAGAATGTTTGCCATTGTATGGGATAGTCCTATTTTTGGAGTTGGAATAAAAATTTGAAGTAATAACAAACTGTCTTTCTTGGGAAAAAAGTTATTTGCTTTAAGACTAATAAAGGGCAACTAACTGTACATAAGAAATTATAAAATGTTTAGACTTTTTCCAAAACAATACAGAAACTTTTATTTTTCTGATGACTGTTCAAACTCGGCATCACAGCCTTTTTTCCTCCTCATGTTCCATAGAATATTTGTTAGGGGCTCTCCCTTCCCCCAGTCAAGTAATCAGTTTTAGTCACTAAGTTAATTTGCTCATTTTAGTCGTTAAGATAGCTCTGTGCTAACTATACATTTCCTTGCCCCCCCCCATATCTGTCCATGTAAGTGTGAGGGCAGTGCCCGCAGAGGCTAAAGGGGAGTTGACTTTGGGAGCTGGAGTGAAGGTGGTTGTAAGCCATTTCTGTGGATGCTGAGAACCAAACTGGTGCTGTACAGGAGCAGTACATACTTGGGCCACCGAACCGTCTCTCCAGCCCCTACATTAGCCTTTTTAAAGCTGATCTCAGGTCTTAAGTCTGGGGGAAAAAAACCTGCTAAACGTTTACCAAATGTTCTTGTTTTCTTTTGAGTTACTTTGCTGAGATGTAGCTGACTGGCCACATTTCCCCGCAGAGTGCTGTTAATCTGTGTGAGGCCATGTGACTATTCTAGTCTACTTAAGATGGCAAAAGTTAAGTTTGAGTCCTTTGAATGACAGAGGTCTTTTCATCAGCTGTATTTCTTAACTAATTTGATTTTATGTGAACAAGAGAAATCTTCGGAGGAATTTATTTATTTATTTATTTTTGCACTTTCTTCTGACTCTTCAACCAAGGTCTTAAGAGGGTAGCTTTGTTATCAAAGGCTGCCTGCCTGTGTTTCTCTTAATGTGGGCTAGTGATTTTCACAATATAACTAACTGGACCTGTAACATAACTTCTCTTGGGGTCCTATTAGAAATGCAAAGTCTCTCATGCCACACCTGAACCAGAATCCCTTGAAATAGCATAAGCAAGCCTTTTGTGTGATTCTGATGTAACCTCAAAATGAAAGCCCACCCATAAATGTAATACATTTGGTTTCCCAGGTAACCACTTAGAATTTCTCTCTCAGCCTCTGCTTTGAGCAAAAGTATTTTTTCTGTCAAGGTCGTATTAGTCCTGGAGCTGGCAAAGCTCAGTTTACAATGGTTATGGTCCAGCTCTGTGAGAAATGTACATTCTTTGCCTTCACAAATGGATATAGGCTGTTCCCAAGTAGATAACGCTGTTGAGCAGCTGTTCTCAGTCTCAGCAGTTTTGTTTTTTTGTTTTGTTTTCTGGTATGTGTTTAGTAAGATTGTATCTTAGTCACTGGGCCATTATAGCACCTTCAGAAGAGTCTTCCTTCCAGGATAGCCTACTCAACACCTTGCCCACATTGTCTCCTTTTGCAAATATGTATGGTATGTTGGTAGCACTGTTCTGATCACATAAAAGTTATCCACAAGCAACCCATTTTCATTCATAAATGAGGAAGTAGAGGTTCAAAGAACTTGACTTAACCAAGATCACAAAAATAAATGCCAGAATTGGGTTAAAAAATAGATATTCTGTGCTAGGCAGTAGTGACACACTGTCTTCTCTTGTTTAGAGACACCATGACCAGGCAACTTTTATAAATAAAACATTTAGTTGGAGTGGCTTACAGTTAAGAGGTTCAGTCTGTTATCATGGGGACATGCAGGCAGACATGGTTATTGAGAAGAAGCTGAGAGTCCTACATCTTGCAAGCAACAGGAAGTGGTCTGAGACACTGGGTAGTATCTTGAGCATGGGAAGCCTCAAAGCCTGCCCCCCACAGTGACACATTTCCTCTATCAAGGCCATACCTCCTAATGCCACTACCTATGAGATTATGGGGGCCAATTATGTTCAAATTACCTTTAATCCCAGCACTAAGAAGGTAGAGGCAGGTGGATCTTTGTGAATTCAAGGCCAGCCTCATCTACAAAGCAAGTACCAGGACTGCCAGGGCTATTATACAGAGAAATCTTGCCTTGAAAAACAAAGTAGGTATTCTGTTTCATAACCACAGCACTGGACTTTGGTCTGGCCTCTAGTCTGTCATACTGTTAAGTCATATATGTAAAGAGACTACAGTTTTATACTCCTGAAATCTATGCTTGTAAATACCTCAGACTACATAGGAAATATTTGTAGATTCAGAGAGGCTTCCTTTGAACATCCTAAGGCATGTGTTGGTTAAGACATCTGTATCCTGAGATGTTGGGAGCCACCTGGAGGCACAGGTGGTCCTGCAGTTTGGAGGTAGCCATGTGGGGCTGAGCACCCCTGCCTGCACCCTTGCCTGCACATGCTCAGACCAGCAGAATGGCATTAACCAATCAGGACAGCGTTCAAGCTGCTCCACCGTTTAAAAGCAGCTGCCTCGGGGCCCAACGCTCTCTCTCTAAGCTTTCTCTCGTCCCTGCTCTATCGTCCCTTCCCCCAATTTTCCTCAAGGGAATGCTCCAAATAAAGATGTGACCAGAGAAGGAATTCTCGTTTTTGGTGGGGTTCATTCCTGCTGGACAGGATGGCGCCCCGCAACTGGTGCTCGAAACTCCGGGACGCAGAGGGACCCTGACAACTACGCCGGGGGACCCTGAGAAGGAAGCGCCCAACAACGCGCTGAAAGCCCGAAATCAGACACCAGCACAGAGAGCCTTGAATTTCAGAACTCTGAGATCATGGAGCGGTGAGTGACGTCGGTTGAAATCCCCAGAAAGGGGAGGAAAAGAAATGTAAAAAGGAATTTCAAAGGATAGGCCTAAATAGAAAAGAAAATACAAAAAAAAAAAATCAAAGTTAAGGTATCTGAAAGAAGGTACAGAAAGCAACGGGGAAGAAAAATCCCTTAAGTTCAGTGCAGGAGGGATGTGAACAGCAGCAAAAAAGGCGAGGTAACTAAGGCGGGACTTTGAGGACGATGGGGTACGGGAGACCGCGGCTTCCGCTCCCTCTCCGTCCACCTGCGTACTCGCCGATAAGAGACTCGGAGGCAACAGTCTCGTAGGGAGGCGAGTTGATCGTGTTCTAAGACTGCCTTTCCTATTCTTAAAGAGCCACAGAGCTTTTGGAGGTGATTTTCACCTAATTTTGATAAGAGAGCTCAGTCTCTGGCTCTCACGTACAAAAAACTTTAATTTTTGACTGAGAAAGACAAGCTGCTTGATCGTGCTGAGAGTGCTGGCGGCAGCCGGCCCGCCTTTGAGCGGTAATGCCTGATTAGAAACACGGAAGTGGGCCAGGCACGGTGGTGCACACCTGTGATCCCAGCTACTCAGGAGGGAGACGCAACCAGTTGCTGGCGGGGAGTTTGCTGGAGGCCTACGAATAGCCAGGTCGCGGGCGGGCTAAAGTCCGTGTGACATCAGAGGCCTTCTGGCGGGGCTATGGTTTTTGGAGGACTTTTTCAGCACCTGAGCGGACTCGCCTGACTGAGGCGGAAGCTGCGTGGTGAGCAGCGGCGCCATAGAAAGCAGAGAGGAGCTGAATCGGCTCTGCGGAAAAACTGTGTTTCCATAGCAACATGGGCGAGCGGGGAGGTGAGTTCCCAGAGAACGGGGCTCTGCGCGCGGGCAGACCGGGCCCTCCACGGGTGGGCGGATGCCCCCCCCCCTCGCCGGAGCTTGAAAAAGACTCACAGCCGGCGGTGCGAGTTCATTGCCTGAGGTGAAACGGCGAGCCCGCGCACGGCCCGGGGCGGGGCCATGCGGAGCGCGCCATAAGGGGCTTCAGAGGCGGAGCTATGGCAGCTGCCGCTGTCCGCTGCTGCCGCCCTCAGCCAAGGTCGCCAAAAATTCAGTCAGATAAAAACATTTGTCGCCAAAAGATTAGTCAGATGAAAACATTTATCCCCCAAACATCGCCCCTTTGTCAGCAGGAAGTAGTAAGATGATCGATGCTACGCCCATTCTCCCTTAAAGAACTGGTCGTGATTATCATAATAAAGGCATGTTTACCTGGTTACCGTATCCTAGGTAACAAAGAAAGGCGGACCTTTTGCCTGAGGCACCTGGTGAGATAAACAATGCTACCTAGAGGTTTTTCCATCTGAATAGGGAGCTGGAGAGATGGCTCAATGGTTAAGAGCATTGCCTGCTCTTCCAAAGGTCATGAGTTCAATTCCCAGTGACAACTGCTTTGGTTTTTAAACAATAGAGGGGGACTACACTACCAGTGACAGCTTCCCCCAGAGAAAGGATTTCTCTTGCATTCTTTACACTTAATTTTAATTCAAAATTTTGCTGGTACAGGCAAACAAGATTTGCTCTTTGAAACGGAGACATGCAAGTCTCTAAGTTCAAAACCAGCCTACTTCCAGTACTGATTGTGCTGAATTTTTACACTGAGAGTTTTTAGTACTCTTAAATGTTTATTTGGGAGGAGAGTTTTGTTTATGTTTTTCTAGGAATGCTGACATACATCTGGATGCCAGCGAGACCGACCAGAGAGATAAAGAAGATGACCCAGTGGATGCTGAATGTCCTGCTGTGGAAGATTCGTACGGAGACAGCAGAGATGACCTTCTGGGCGGTGTCAAGAGCAGCTGTTTCACACCATCGACTTGAGCAACACCCTGTGCAACCTCTTATCTCTGACTCTATTTTGCCTTTTCCCTCCTTGGGGATGGGTGGGAGCAGATATCCTTGGCATGCTGCGTCTAGGTGGGGACCAGATTGGAAAATAGTTTTGCCTTATTGCTCTTAAAGACAATAATTAGGGGGAGATGTTGGGAGCCACCTGGAGGCACAGGTGGTCCTGCAGTTTGGAGGTAGCCATGTGGGGCTGAGCACCCCTGCCTGCACCCTTGCCTGCACATGCTCAGACCAGCAGAATGGCATTAACCAATCAGGACAGCGTTCAAGCTGCTCCACCGTTTAAAAGCAGCTGCCTCGGGGCCCAACGCTCTCTCTCTAAGCTTTCTCTCGTCCCTGCTCTATCGTCCCTTCCCCCAATTTTCCTCAAGGGAATGCTCC